ATGAAGCGCATACTCTGGTATGGATGTTACGAGGATGAAGCGCATACTCTGTAGCCATTTATGTACACATATTATATATACGGTAGGCAATTATTACTTATCGATGTCCTACATTCAACTATAACTCTTTTCATTGGTGTCCGGAAAGAAGATTCCGCATCCTTATCAAGCAGATTTGCCTTTTCGGACTATTGAAAAGATTATTCTTATTTGCCAAGTTTTCTTCTGATCTCATGAAAGAATGACAACGAATGGATGATGACCTAGAGAACTAACCGGACTGTAATGATGGGCGTGGTAGGGGATTGCGTAGAAGGGATCAAAGAATTTGAACTTGACTCGTCGCGAAGCAGCGGATTTACAGATTGAAAGATACGCGGCCATACGGTATTTTAGATTTCTGAAGTTGTTGCAACATAGGATGAGTATAACATTTAATTGTAGATAAATCAGAAATGAGTAATACAGAAGAATCACATCAGTCAGCGTTTCAGTATGGACGAAGATTACCATCAATTATCAGTGCTGCTCGATTATTGAGACTTCGTTCGGGGTCGTTCGAAGAAGGTAATTTGTTTTTCTCAATGTTGCAGTAAATCACTTTAGCATTTTGGTAAATTATTTGAGCCTATTTTTCCTTCGAAAACATAACTCACTTATGGTTCCAATTTGTCAATTGTTTTTTTTTCCGCAAATTAAAATTAGTATGTGATTGCTGAGTAGGATGTTTTGGATGAACAGTGTTTTGAAACATTTGAGGCTTAACATCTCAAAATTTATGTCATTCTTCATCGAAGAAACCAAGTATCAATTATTGATTGTGAGTCATCAAGTTAATGTTAGTTACTTTAATTTTATTTATCTTGTTCATATAAACATAACCTTCCATGCGATTTTATAATAGGCCCCATTGAAAACATCATATTAATCTTATAAATTGTCATTTGTCTTCATTATGTGATTATATGGCAGAGGCAAAAGATGAGAAGAAGAGAAATCGCATAAGTCCATTTTCACCTGAAGCTCGTGTTCCTTTACCCAGTGAAATCGATGAAAAGTAAGCAACAATTTATTTGCGAAATGGATACTATTTCCATACTACCAAATATAAATAATCTCTTGACATTGGTTTTCTTTGATGAGTCTCACTAATTAATTCTGGAAATTTGCAGTTATGGAACTACTGTATGGAAACGAAATGAAAGGGAACGACTACGTGTTCGTTGTGTGAACGACGGATATGAAAGACTGCGTGACCATCTACCGCTTACCGATAGGTTTTAATTACTATCTTTTAATTGATCCTAGTGAAAATTAGGTGCTACCCGTTATATGTTATCTGAGGAAATTCGATTACAAATGCCAGATTTTTGACAACTATTCATATCATTTTGAAAATGAGAAACAGAGACGCTTTCAGCGATCGTCGCATTAGTAAGGTGGATACTTTACGCTTGGCAATACGATACATACGTCATCTGGAAGCTCTACTGCAGAACTGCGACCATTGGACCAAATGTGACTGTTTCCAAACCTTTCAAACCGAGTCTGAGGAACGGGCCGAGCGTCTTCGCAGAATCGATCGCAGGAAGCGTGCGCTAGATGCTATGTCTTCAACTCCGTAAAGTGATAGAAACTAAATTCTTCCATTAACTGTTCCATCGTTTCAAATTTTCTAAAATCTGGTTTTATCTGCTAGTAAATCCTAGTATTATTCTTCCAGTTAAAGATTGTAGTCTTCTATCTAATTGAGATGTCTCATAAGCAATACTTTTAATAAGATACGTGTGTTACACTTCCTGACACTTCAATACAAATCATTAGTGGAAAAAGAATGCAGCAGTTAAAATGGAAATGCATGCTCTAGTGACGATATAATGAGGCATTCTGGTGATTGGTGATTCCTCTCTCCATTGCGCATTGTGCACAACTGATATACCTAAATGATAGCAACTGATACACCGGAATGAGATATACCGAATCGAACTTCGGCCCTTCCTATTTCCGGCAAATGGTTTCATAAAGGAAGACAACTCACTTCCTCTCCTCGACACTCATTTCATTTAACAAATCTTCAGATGGAAGTTCGAAACTCAATCCAAAATTTGTGATAAAAACAAAAACGTAACGCTGAAATGACAATGATAACACCTCCAAATTCAGTGGGCCAGCGACAATAATGCCTTGGCACATACCATTTGCAAAGCGTCACTTGTTTTCAGTTGCAGTTTGGATTCATTTTGGTTTGGTGTCCTTTACGGTGGTTTAAAGGCATGCGTGTGCATTTCGTTAATAGTAGAGGAGGGGGGGGGGGGGAGGAGGATAGGACAGGGTGGTGTGGTGATTGTTGGTGGGTATTATGCGTTTCCCCGATTTCTGTTATTTACCTTATTATCCTCAGTCTGTACGGCGTCAGTGTACGGGAGAGATTACTCCGCAGAGGCTTCCTGGACTTATTCAGATGTCGTTTCAGGTGAATTATCTTATTGGTTGCCCGAATGTCAAAAGGAACAGGGCAGAAGTTGTCGAAGGAGGATGAGTTGCTGCTAAAGGTGTGCTTTAATATATGGTTGCTGTTAGCTCTTGTGGAGCTACAGATTTTGCTTTTCTGAAAATGAGAAAGTGTCGAAAATCCATTAACCTGCCATCTGTATAAGTTATATCAGTAAGTGCAAACAGATATTCTAAGGTATTCGGATTTGTTGAATATCTTGACCTCACTTTTGTCTACAGGAATATCAAACGCATCCTAAACTAAAATCTATACATATTCCCTCTTAAATTGATTTTTGTTGAATTATCAACGTGTTCAGTTGGGAGAAAAATGACCTTAATCTTACCACAGTATTCCTATCTGCAATTTACTGTAAAGTGAATAGTTCCTTTTAAAATCGAATTATTACTTAAAGGATTTCTCGGCAGCAGTATCGACAAAAGGCAGTGCATTATTTTATGGGAACTCGACAGTGATTGCTATAGCGCCTCTATATCTTTTCCATGGAATATATATATATATCTGTAATACAAATCAATAAAAACCAATCATCACATTCATTATTCTATTTTAACCATCCTTATTATTTTTATTTGTATTAAACACTGATTACCAGTAAAATCATACTGTATTTGTTATTGATAAGGAAGAAAGGGAAAAAAGAAAGAGAGAGAGAGAGAGAGA